CCCCCCCCCCCCCCCCTCTCTCTCTCTTTCTTTTCCTCCTCTTCTCTGTCTTTCTCTGTCTCTTTATTTCCGACGCTCCACTCCTTTTCTCTCCTCTCTCCTCTCCTCTCCTCTCCTCTCCTCTCCTCTCTTTCGCCCGCCCTCTTCGTCGTCGCGAAACCGCTCGTAGTTCCTCGGGCGGCAAAAAGTACAGCGCACAATATTGCGCACCGAGAGCGGAGGCAGCAACGCGCTTTACATGCCGATTTCGCGAGATTGCAGACAGCGCGAAATTAAGAGCCGCCAGAGCGAGTAATGACGAATTCTCGAGGCGAGGAGAGAGCGAGATTCCAGTCTTTTCTACTCCTTTCGTGGTGAATCGTCCCACGGGACTGCCGAGAGTCACGAAGGGTATATACCAGATTCAAAGACGGTAATCGGATCGAGTGTTTCTTTCTCCTTCTTTTCGTTCGAGAGTGTCGAAGCTTTTCCTTGTAGGGAAACATCAAGGCTCTCCAAACACGTGCTTCATTGATCCACGTAACGCAATTAGGAGTGTGATTCATATACATATTTCTTTTATTTATAATTCTAATCAAAGAATTTAGCTTTTCTTTTTAAAAATTTAGGATAATCAATCCTCAAATTGAGAGAATTATGCTTTATGTTTTTCTTTTAAAAAAGGACGAATTAATCCATCGTTGCATCGAATCCTCTATTTGTAATCTTACTTTTCGTTGATTACTGGATTTCTTTTTATCTTTACCTTCAAAGAAATCACATTTCGATTCGGCTGACGACACTGCACGATCCGATACTCATCGCCTTTGAATTCTATCGCGTATTCGCTTTCATCGTGCTTTCATTCAACTCTTGAGAACTTTGACGACTGCACAAGAGCACATGTTAGATGCACTTTGTTGCTGAAGCGTGTCGAGAATAGACACGCGCACATGCGCGAGTGTCCCCGTTAGGCGAAATAGAGACTAGAATATCGATATTGTGGCTTTTCGCTTTCTGTGAAGTCGTCACGCTGTCATGCGTCCTCTTTCTTCTCCCCCCCCCCTCTCTCTCTCCTCTTTTCTGCCTTTTTCCATCTCTTTTTTGCTCTCTGTCACGCAAAAATTTTCACGCGTGTCGTCTTTCTGCCCTACATGCTTGCCTTCCGGGACACAGGAGGTATAGCACAGAGACCCCGATAATATGCCCCCGTTAAGTCCTCCACCAAAGACAACCAATTGCTTACTCGACATTTTCGTTTTTCTTACTTTATTTCATTTTAGTTTTCCTCACAATTTCATCGATCTGCGAATAACTTTCTTTAATTCTCTCACGTTCCATCAAATCGATTTATTAATTTCTTTGTAATACTAGCAGAGATATATTTTGTATAATCTAGGTATCAGGTACGTGAAGGAGACTTAAAGTGATTTAAATACGCGGTATCAGTATATGGTTCATCGATTGTATTATACACGACAACTACATGTCTTGCATGAAAATATAAAAAGAACGTATACTGGTACCGATTCAATCCTATCCCCAGTATTTTCCCAAAGTTTGAGTTGTATTTAATGTTTTATTTTTAGTTTTATTTACTCATTTAAATATTTATGCGCTGCACTCCGGATGAATTTTTCGATAATCACGTGAATCATTCAAGTAATTAAATATTAATCTATTAACCCTACATTACTCGCGTGATTTTTTTATGTAATTACGTAGAGAGTTTCATCACAATTATATGTCAATTTTCATTGTTCTTTTTGATGATTTACAAAAATAAAAATAACATTTTTTTATACATTCTTTAGGTAAAGATAAATGCAAAAAATTGTAAACCGTGAAACAATTTGCGCTAAATGTAATAATGTGTGTAAATATCGTTCATACAGTTAACGAATTTATAAGATACAGGAAGTATATCTCGGACACCTCACTCGAATAATGAAGGTTAATAGATGATTATATTATCATTATTATATTATAATTTATTGTAAAAGGAATGTGTTCATCATATACTCGTACAGTTATATCTAATTCATCCTAGGACAGCACCTTACGATATGTACATGCACTTGTATTATTCATACATTATTATTCATGTATAGATTTTTATATGCGTATATTTGTCTCGCGATGCGCGTGATCGCCAATGATCGTGTATTTTCTGACCTGTGGTGTTGTTGTTGTTGTTGTTTTTGCTTTTGCCTCACCCTGCACGGGGGCGAAATATACTCTACACCCGCCACCAACCACCAACCGCCACACCTGTGCTACTATCGTCTCGTGTTGTGGGGCCCTATCTACGAACGCGCGTACCACCCCCCTTCGTACGAACGAACGAACAAACGAATATCGCAAATGCCACGCGAAAAAAAAACGCGCCTTTCTCGGGGCCCTTCACCACCCTCCACTTCCGGTTGTGTTACGGATAAACCGCCAACACCGCTTCTCCATCCCTTTCGAGCGTCTCGCAGGTGGCCACTTGGTACAGGGTACGTCTTCACTATTACTAATAGCATGCTACCACGCCTTTCGTTCCTCGTCGATCGATTGTTTTCGCTCCCCCTTTTGTATTTGTCGTTTTACGCCGATTTGCATGGCGAAATGAGAGAATCCTGCGGCGATTTAAAAGGGAATTAGAGATACTTTTTTTTTTATTATATAATATATTTATTTTTACTTACTTGGAAATTACATAGCTTTTCAGTTTTTTAATAGTTAATAGAATTGAATTAATTAATGAAGATATATGTTTTTTATATGAATTATTATCTTTTTATATGTTGCACATTTCTTGATAAATTGGGACAATTTTTTGTATACACGTGTAACGTGGAATTATTAATTTTTGGTTTAGTGAATTTGCAGAGAAAGTTGCAGTAAAGCGCTGTCACGTTGCTCATTTGTTATACAATCCGGTCATGATAGTAGAGTTATATAAAGTGATTATTTTTATTCATTTGCTAACAAGCTATGATTACGTAGCGATAGTTAATTTTCCCGTCTGCTTTCTTTGTATCTGTCGTTTAATATGCATTGAATATTTATGGATTAAATAACGAAACCAGAACTTGCAATGAAATTAAGGGATTAAACAAACATGTATATATCTCCTTTATATATATAATTGAGGATTTTATATCATTCCTTATACTCGTCTGTGTGAATCTCTCGAAGCAAATACTACGACTTATTTATAATACAGAATGGGGAGATTAAACGGTATTTAGTTTTAGGTATTTAGTTGTTTGTATGGTTTAGTCTTCGGAAAATGTCAACTAGCATGCTTGTGTGATAATTTGTCAAGGTAATTTAGCAACGTGATTGTTCTTAACTATTAGTTTTTGCACGATTGTTGCTCTGATGTACTTAAACACGATGCGGACAGTTATTAAACAATAAATTGAAAAAATTGTATATTGTATTTATATATTGCATTTATATTGTATTATATGATAATTATTACACTCTCTTTTTACCATTTACTCTGGTTGTTCTCATCGCGTTCCTGTTTTTCTTTTTCCATTCAGTTTTAGAATGCTTGCATTTTAAGAGTTGTTTCTGCTCATGTTCGAAAACGTCAGCGAAAACAATCGTGTCACACGATTGCATGTACGATTTGTAACACGTATCGAGCGGCTACGTACCGTGTGTGTGTGCAACCTGCGATATATTTTTATAGTTTGTAGAATGATACTTGATAAAAATTTATGCTTTCCGGGTCTAGATGAAATATCAGAAATTGTGAGATACTCGGAGTACTTAGCCGCTCGAAATCACGTTTGAAACAATGGTTCACTCAGGTGTGACATTTCAGCGAGACCGCAAATTTTCCCGGCGAAGGTACGTCGTTATGTACAGCAGTACTAACTAATAGCGTAAGGCACGTAGGAGATTCATTTTAGCGCGTCGAAATGCGCTTTTTAGCACGCGCGACGTTACGCCGCGTTTTGCATCATAATGCGTTTTGATGTAACACAAAAGCTCGAAAGGATATCCGCAATTCTTGCCGGGCAAGTGTCCTCGATCGAGGTCGCGCGCCATGCTGTCGACCTCCTCCAGCGAGATCGTCTCGACCATCGTGTTGCAGCGCTGCCTGCTAATGTTGCTGCTGTGTCTCTCTGACGTTGCTGTACACGGTGACTTTCGTTTTCGCCGGGAGGTTAACGAAACCGTTGAACCCACATCGATTGCCGCGTTGCGTTCCTGCAGACGGCATGCAGTAGTGCCGACCATCGTCCTGCAGACAAGAACCTCTTTCAAGAATAATTCTACGGAAATTTATGAACTAAAATTTACTTACAATGTACAATGTTAAGTTTTTTTTACAACATCTCTCTAACAAGAATTCTTCTCTAAAGATGTAGAACTTTATTATTTTTTCTTTTTTAGAGAGAATGCACATCTGATTGCTAAATTTTTGGGGGTAGAATGCATATATTGCTGAATCTTCCCTCTTTAAGATAAAAGAAAGCTCCTTCTCTTTCTTTAGAATTTTTGAAGTTTAGATTTTTTCCTCAACTTAGATTTCCTCATAATCATACGTTTCATGAGGGATATGCATAGAACGTTCTTTATTTCCTCGTACATATAAGTTACGTAGAAAACAATTTTTTGAAATTATCTTCGCGTCTGTGTTCGTTCAGCTGCAGCTGGTGACACTATCGATCTGTCGAGGTGATGTGGCGCCGCGTGCTCCTTGGGTCTTACACGGGAGAGTTGGCCAAGAAATTCGTTACTCTTTTTGTTACTTACCTTCCCACCAGACACTCTAAATACTCCGCGTGCCGCTAACGACGCCAGCTCGTTACTCCTTTCGTGTATATCGCTTTCGATCACCTTGGCCTAAGGGGCCCATTCTCGCGTTAAAATTGCTCCACCCCCCCCATCTTCTTTCTACAGTTTATTCGCGTTCTGATATCCTCTCGTTTTCGCCGATCGAGAATAGGATACGAAACTCTGAACACGATTCGCCAAAAGTTGTTTAAAAAGAACAGAAACAGCAAGGTATGAGAAAGATGAATAAAAAAATATAAACTATTATTATTTATTTATCAAAGTTTTTATTGCATGTAACTATTATTCACGTGAGATACACTTAACTTTGTCTTCGCACTTAATTTTTTACGATACGATAATATGAACAACGATAGTTTTTAACAACAGTTGATACTTAATTAATCCAATATAATGCAGATGATTTATGTTAATTCGATCTTAGATATTTCTAAGCTATCAATATGCGTCTCGATAAAATCTTATTATTAGACGACGATAGTTAGCTCCTGGAAGCAATTGCTTCAAGATCGCGACGTAGTCGCATAGTGCTTATCGCCGTAAATGTGCATGATCCACCGATATCACTGTACCCTGTACCGGAACAGACCGAATATTACCGGCACGGCGATAGTATATCGCCGCATATCCTGCAGGAGGATCTCGGCGCGGATAAATTCACCCTGGCCAGAGCGCCAGAGGATCCGTGGCAGGATCGGAGAAGACAGGACTTCGTAGGCGTAGACGATCACCGTGATCCACGATTGTGTGAACCAGGATCATCCTTTACTTCCGATAGGATCGCGGCCCCCTTTCTCTTTCTTCATCTCCCTCACGGTGGCTTCGGGCTATCTACGCGTCGTCACTTTGTAACGCATATTTTTCTCGCGCCTGCACCATGTAATAATGTTCCCTTTATCTTTATCGGAAGATAATTTGTGTTTAGCAGAAAAAAAAACCTAAATTCTTACACTACGCGATTTCTCAGGATAAAAAATTTAAAAAAAGTACTTTAGTTTACATTTTTGAGAAATATTATATATTTGAGAAATTTTGATTTTAAATCTTCACAGAAATAAAAGTGATTTTTATTTAAATTTTGTTGGACGATTATTAATATAAAAATAAAAAAATTGATATTGCAAGAAGTTGATGTTATTTGATTTGCATTTGTAATTCTTTTTTAAATATCTCGTAAAGTAAACGAGTAAGTTTGGATTAGTAGACTTCTTTATATATATGCTCAGGCAGCTCAGGTTGGAAGTGGACAATGCTAAAAGTGACAATCAGATCGATTTCCACGATGGATATAGTTGCCCTCGCACGTGTTATCGATTTCACAAACAAGTTCAAGTCGACGGTGATTACGTCCGCATACCTGGACAACGTATCGCAAATAAAATGACACCCGGAAATTAATGAACGGTGTATAGGGAGAACGAAGGATTCTGCCGTCAAGATCGACAAATCCTGCCGCCCCGCCGTCGACACGGAACAAATGCGCGCGCGAGTTGTCGAGCGAGTACTACATCGATCTATTTATATCGATCGTACGCTGTGAACTGGTACGAGAATAGATCGAATGGAGATCGATGGCCAGAGAGGTTTTCCGCCGTGTGCGGCAGGAAGACGTCTTCATTGGAATGTGATTTTTAAACGAAGATATAACTTAAGTTGAGAAGCAAGAAAATTAGCAATTATGAAAATCGCAAAGTAAATAAGAGTTCAAAGAGCAGGTGAATTAAGGGTGAGATCTAGGAAAGATGCGCAATTTCCGGGCGGACGCGATGGAACACATTGGTGTCAATTTACATAGTTGGAGATCGAGCAATCGTAGGAGAAAACTCAATCGAATGCGGAATCTTCCTCGCGAGGAAACCGGATACAAACACTCGAGAAGCATCCACGAAGACACGTGGTCTTCCTCGAAAAGGGATGGGATGTAGCCTTGGCTGTATCTCGCTCCTTAGCCATCGTCGTTGGGTAACTCGGTGAAACATAGCGTTGTCGCTTATTTCGCGTAATTGTTGATGTTCCTGGCGGGCAGACTCTTCCGAGGATATGCGATTCGCGCGCATCGGATCGGGCGAAGCTCGATCACGCCAGCGGCAAAATCGTCCTCATTCCTGTTACATTTTTACCGCTCATTCAATTTAGCCACGAGTTTATTTACCCTTCTTACTAAAAACGCCCATAGCGACTTGCTTAAAGAGGAAAGAAATAGCGCGCGAGCTTATTAAACGTTTATTAAGTATACATTTCTCGCGCGCGTCGCTTGATGACAATCTTACTGCGAGATCGCCAAGTAATTTTAGAGCCATCAGTTGAATTAACATGCATAGTACTCTACGTGCAAAAAAATATTCTTTCTTCAAAAATAATCAACTTATTGGGTAACTCCGGTATATACGCCGCACCTATAACTTAATTTATTATATAAGTATTATTTACTATGTTTATAGTAAACGAACTATATCGGTAAAAACTTTGTACTGTCTACTACTATGAAAAAAATATTAGAAATCCGAAATATTTATTTTTCATATTAAAAAATAAACTTTTTGAAACCCTTGCATTTTTACCGTACATCCCATAGGGGTGGGGTTATAGCTATTCATAGGGAGAGGGGGGTATGTACGGCTCATGAAAAATTCACAAATAATGCATATAAATAAGACGTATAATAACACAATAACTTATATAAAATGTGTTTATA